TTATTTATTTTAAGTTCACTTTCTCCTATTTGATCACTAGGATTTCTTGACTCTTATTATTTCACAGAAAATCAACTGGTCTACTCATTCTTTTGTCATCCAGGAATTCACACACACATGCACAGGCTGGTCACTCGGCCCCCACCTTTTTTCTCTCTCACAGACACACACACACATTTTACTCCTCATTCGTTCTGCCTGTGAACCCGCCCCCCGAGGCTGACTGACACTCACTTCATGCTTCTCGCAGTCCCATTCAGACTTCCTGTGAGACACTTCCTTCTCTGCTTATTCTGGACAACGCCCTAGACGGCACACAGAGCGGGTGCCATCCGCTCTTGTGCACCTCACAAATTTCAAACTGTGCCACAGACTCGATACTGCAGTTTCTCTTCCTCTAAAAAATATAAAACCAAACTCAACCCCCCAATTGACTTCACAGTTTGATTTCTACACACCACAGACACACTCTATTTTGTTTAATCCTCATACACTCAGCTTCTGTATTAAATCACTTTCACAGCACACGCAGTTATAATCAATATAAACAATTTACACAGCCACTTAACACTTTATTTTATATACTCAGGCCTGTATCAACATGAGAAACGACACCAGATGCCAAGACAAGTTATTCAACAGTTCCTTATCCTTATTCTTATCCTTATTCTTGTCACTTCTTATCCTTATTCTTGTCACTTCTTATCCTTATTCTTGTCACTTCTTATCCTTATTACTTCTTCAAAACCTCTGTAGCATCACACCTAACTTTTTGACTAATTTAAAAGCTTCTAAGCCCAGGTCCAACCTTGCTGGTCAATGCACCCGCTTCGGGAACGCCGTCGCTGACAGCGGTCAAATTTCTAAGCCCTAATTAATTTATAACCGCTTCCCGCAGCTTAACAGGGAGCTCCACGTCCGGCGTCAAAGTACCACACTCGCGCATTCAGCTTTACTTAAAACTCACTGTCACCAACGTTAATAGTCACGGCCGGGTCCAACCCTTCAGCCAAATAGCACAGTATAAAAGGTAATCCTTGATTACCTGGCCTTTAACGGGTGTCCGAAGTCCCGCGGGAGGCCACCCGAGCTAAGAAGTAACCATGCGTCCACGGTTACTGGTCGTCGCCACACGCTGAACAACTGTGCTCTACGGGGTCCAACCCCAGTCTAGACTAATTTACACACTTTTTAAAAGCATCACATGGACTCCAAGCCTCAATCGTGATGCCCGAACCTAGTTCTGCTGATCAATCTAGGAATAAAATTCCTTAGCCAAATACCCTAGTCTAAAGCTTGCTTGGCTGCCGTCACAGTCAACAAATATAACACGTCAAGTTAAACACATAATATATTAATTAATATGAATAGTAACAGTAAAATAATATTCTCATCCCGACAGTAGCATGGTTTGGCACGTAATTCTTCCTATCAGAGTATGCTTCTAGTTTATAATAACAAAGGTAGCATGGTGTGATGGCTGCACTTATAGCCACACAGTGGTAATACGCACCATGTTAGTGTAGAGGCTTAAAAGTAACATTGCATTCAGATTTGTCTTTCTTTAAATATAGGAATTAATTTACAGGACAATAAATAACTGGTTTTGGTTTAGAATTAATTCACATATCCACATAACACTGCATTCTAAAATAAGTGCGCACATTTTAGTTTACACTGTTATGTGTGATTAATCTTTTGTTTTCTGAGTTACCTTAGTTGCAGCTGTTCCAGTCCCTTGATTGAGGAGCCAAGAGGTGGAAAAGGGGTGGAGCGAGCTTTAAAGGAAGACTGCAAATTGTTTCATACCATAACTCAGGACCAGGGGAAATGGAGTTCATTATGTTAGGTTTAGTTAGGTTTTGTGTGTTTTACCCCTTCTCGTGTTTTTTGTGGGCTGATCAGCCACTATTTAAGTTTCCCCTTTGTCTCGTTAAGTTAGGTCTGTTTGTTTGAGTTATCAGTAGTGTTGTCAACTTTGAGTAGAGTTTTGTTATTTTGACCTCTTTTATGGGGGCCCATGATTTTGATTCTTTTTGCATGATTTAACCAATTATGTTTTTTGGGTTAAATAAAACTTTAACCTGTGCCTAGGTTTCTTTCACTGCTCGGTCCATCACACATGGTTTGGCACGTAATTCTTCCTGTCAGAGTATGCTTCTAGTTTATAATAACAAAGGTAGCATGGTTTGGCACTTATTTGTAGAAGCAGTCTGCATGCCAAGGTGCTTAAGTTATACAGCTGTCACCATTGAAGTGATTGGAACACCTGACTATACAAACTTTGACAATGAACTCACTCCATTATAGTTACATTATATATTTACTGAATATATTTACAGATACATATATTTGACATTTATAGATCCAGCAGAACACAGGGAGAAAGAACTGAAAAAGAAACAGTATTCATAACAAATTATGCACATTTTTCGCACACGTACTTGACCAGGCTGCTCTCATATTGAGCACATCCAAATTGTGCCCATCTGAGACAAAACTCACACTGCACCTGAAGAGGGAGAAGGGGGGTGTAAGTGTGTTAACCAACATTACGAATTTGATGAGAAAATAATTACTACAGTGGCTTGCAAAAGTATTCGGCCCTCTTGAACTTTTCCACATTTTGTCAGATTGCATTCACAAACATGAATCAATTTTATTGGAATTCCACGTGAAAGACCAATGTCTCTACCAGCTAGAGACTGGTAGTGACATACCCTAAAAGACTGGCAGATGTAATTGCAGATAAAGGTGGTTCTACAAAGTATTGACTCAGTGGGCTGAATAATTACGCACACTCCACTTTTCAGTTATTCATTTGTAAAAATTGTTTGGAAGCATGTATGATTATTGTTCCACTTCTCACGTGTACACCACTTTGTATTGGTCTTTCATGTGGAATTACAATTAAAATTGATTCGTGTTTGTGGCTGTAATGTGACAAAATGTGGAAAAGTTCAAGGGGGCCCAATACTAATGCAAGCCAATGTATATTGCATTTGTGGTTTATTTGTTTTACCATTTCAATCATACTGGACTCAGGATCGGCTTCCAGCATGGAACAAACCACACAGTAGTCATCAGCATTACCTAGAAACACACTGGCTTTCAACCTAACAGTTTTTAAAGAAAACTGAAAGTGCTACTGCAATACAAAAGCACATGACTCAACTTACTTTGATGTTCTAGCAGTTCGCAAGCAATTTCAGTGCGTTTCAGCCCAATGGCTTCTGCAGTGGACAGCACCCTAGTAACCTTTCCACTCATAAGGTAGTGTTCGGCAAACTGTAAAATATGTTACAGTAATTGCAATTGATCAACTTAATTCTAGTTAAATACAATAAATACAATTAAATACAATTGCTTATTAAATACCTTCAACACTAAAACTCCACAACTGCTGGAGTTCATCTGCTTGTTGTGTGGCAGAGTCTCCATTTTCCAATCCACTCGGGACTCTTCCTTTCCTTTCATCTTCAGAAAATTCTAACAGCAGTACAGATTGTGAGGAGATTTTGACAACCTAAAATAAAAATTGTATTTAGTAGAATATGTGTATTACACTCACTTTAGTTAACATAATCAATTGTAAGCATTTTCAAAATGAGGATATGCTGCTAAAAAGAACAGTACAACAAAAAAGAGAAAAAACACATGAAGTGTGAACATGTACCACAAGGATCCAGTGTGCACCAAAGTTCAGTGGGCACAACCAAATGTCCTCAGCCGGAAACAACATCTGTGGAATATTTTTAAGTTTATAAAGGTTTAGATTCATTTACATAACATACACTATATAACCAATATAACATCTACATTACCTTGCTGACGCATTTAAACTTCCCAGAAAACATAGAGGTTGCAATAACGCAAGACAACTGATACACGGGTTTCTGAAAAATGCAGGAGTTTTTTTAAAAAGATTACAAAATTGTATAAAATAGTTTTGTGAAATAACCGGCATACGTTCTTACTTGCCTTTTGTTTCCTAATGAGGCAGTGCAGGTATGCATCAATGACCTGTTTGGATTAAAAGAAGATTATTTTTACAGACCACCACTAGGACCAAAAATGATTTCTTCACTTACCTCATCAGAAAGCCACCCACTGTCCTCCAGTTTGCGAAAAGAAGAGTCATACAATTTGTATGGCCCAACGACTGCCTCCACACGCCCGGTGTCTTTTGCAGCCCAAAATCACTTCACTAAAAAACAAAATATGATAAGTTTATTTAGTAATAACAGTTGCCATTTGATAATCACGGTCAATGACCAATGGGCCACAAGCAGACAGGGGCAAACGGGCCAACAAAATAAACATGCCAGAGGGGAGCCGCTTTATGTAAATCAGAAATTAGCCAAAATTGGACCAACAGGTCAAAATTAGCAAGAGGGGAGAAAAAAATAAAACATTCATTCTATCCATTCGACTAGCCAAACTGGCAACAATTGACCAACCGGTCAGAATGAGATTTTTAGCTATGCCACCTTTTTCTTGCGTGCTGGGTTTCTGGGGGGTCACTGGTACAAGCTCTTCTGGTGCTTGGACTGATTTTACCTGAGCTATTTTTGGTGCAAACTGTATAACAGAGGGTCTGTTATTTTGCAGCGCTTCATGATGATGCTGAGGACTGCAAGGCCACATCTCAGAAGATGGGCTACTCTCAACAGGTTCAGTTGGAGTTGAGACTTGGACAGGGTGGCTTCTTCTATAGGGTTTAATGTGGTCAATACTGTATAGACTTTTTAAAGTATTTCCCTCAGCGTTTTTCAGTCTAACACATTTTCCACTGATGTCATCAATTGTGTAGGGACCTGAAAAATCCGGTTCAAGTCTTCCTCCTTTTCGCCCACGTTTCCTCATATTTAGAAGCAGAATTTGATCCCCTACATTGTACAAAAAATGTTTGTACTTTTTCAGGGCCCGCTTGGCGTATGCAACCTTTTGCTTGTCTTGTGACTTCGCAATGTTTTCAGTTTCTTTAACTGCATGTTGTGCTTCACTTTCAGACTGTACATAGTCACTGTACCTTTTGTTGTCTGGCAGAATGATGTTGGAAATCTAAAATTTTGTAGATATTAGCAATTAAAACAAGATGATATCATATTCATAAAGTATAAGTGTATAAATGGTTTCAATTCTTAGTTCTAACATAGAAAGAATTTGACAAACACTCACCAGCACTTGAGCAGGCACTTCTGATGGAAATACTGCCTCTCTTCCATACATCAGAAAAAAAGGTGTGTATTTTGTTGTGGTGTGTACTTTTGACCGCAGTGAAAACAGGGTGGGATCTAGATACAGATCCCAGTTATTCTGCTGGTCATTCACCATTTTTCGGAGGGCTCTAAATGCAGGCATAGAAATATGTAAAGACAGTAATGAAAGTTTAATTAGAAGTAAAGAAATTAATAAATTATTAAGTAACAATTAAGTCTGAATAACATAAGTAATATTATTAAAAACTGATAGATAAAAATTAGGCATACCTTTTTATGTTGTCATTGGTCTTTTCATCTAGACCATTGGTCTGTGGATGGTATGCTGCTGTGACACTTCTTTCAATTTGCAATAACTTGCAAAGATCAGAGTTGAGCTTCAACAGACTTTTACAAGCACACAAGAAAAAATGTAACTTATTTCATTCACAAACTCTCTGCCTTGGTCTGACAAAATCCTTTTGGGGCAGCCATGTCTATATATAATGGAGCACAAGTGCTGGGCTACCTCAGATGCAGATTTCGTTTTTAATGGGAAAGCTTC